TGCTTTTTTATAAGGAAACGTTGGCATGATGTCTGTGGGAAGAGGCTTCCTCCAAAGCCTCAGGGCTCTCGAGTGGGGCTTACTGCCCAGCACTGGTGCACCTACCCTGTCCAAGACGCGATGCTGCTCAGAGAAGCTGCCATCCACCCCAAAATGCGCCCTTCCCCCCCTGCATCCTCCCCAGGGAGGCTTCTTATCAACAAGGGACCCCAAAACTCACAATACCTCCAACCAGCCACCCTGGCAGCACAACCTATTGGCATTTCAGCGATGCTTGCTGGCATTAGGCACACTCCTGACCCCTCACCATGGAAAAATCCAGGGGGAGGTGGGAAGAGGGCCTTAGCTTGGCAAAGAACCCATCACGCTTTGGCTTGTAATTAACCACACTGTGCCACAGCCTGCTCAGGGTGACGAGCAGCTTGCGAGGGAGAGTAGAAAGAAGCCCTGGTTGACAGAGTCAAGTTCCTCGGCAGTGCAAGCGGTTTGGCTCTCTGGTTTCCACCGTAGTCTCAGTGTGAGAATAGTCTTTTGGGTTTTGGTTTTGTTTGGGTTGGTTTTGAATCAATAAACAGGGATACAGATCATCAGGACAAATGGCACAAATCAGAATGATTCTGGGTCAAACTTGCGATGTCATCTAAGTAGCCATAGCATTTCACATGGAAAGCCGGACTGGAGCCTTGGAAGGAAACCCCGGGAGTCAGAGAGCAAGAGCAAGGGGAGCAAGTGGTTACCGGGTAGGCTATGCACTACTTACCTTCGAAAGTCAAATAAAACTTTCCTCTGTCAAACCAAACGAGGGAAGGCTGTTCATTCTCTGTATGGCCAGGAGTTGAAGCGGGATGGGAAAGGTTAAGGAGAGGGAGAGAGAAGGACACAGTGTGAGTCACAGAGCAGGTCATTTATCTCACTACGGGGAGGGGACGAGGCGCTGCAAGCCGTTCACGTGCAAGGAAAGGGGGAGCTTGAAACTCTGGTTTTGGCTTAGGAAACAGAAAGCAGAAAGCAAAGCTATGGAAGCCCAGATGGAAGAGTATTTCTGCCCGCTTGGTAAGGATTTTGGGGGGGTTTCTCTTTCTTTGTCTAGAGTTTAAGCAGCTTCTTGGCTCATGCACTCCAATAGCATTTTTTAACTGCGCTGATTTTAGCAACCATGCCCGTGTCCTCTTCACCTCTGGTGATGTCTCAGACAACAGCATTTTCCTGGCGGGATGCTGAGCCGCATGCCGCACCGGTGTGCAGAATAAGTGACAGTGAAACGTAGGTGCTTTGTGTTGCATTTCAGGACATACAACTTGCAGATAAACAGACACTCACACACAGAGCAGGAGATGCCTAACTGGAAGTTTCCCTTTCCTCTCAGAACCACCAGCTCCTGCACTCAAACTGCCTCAAAGCCACAATGGATAATAAGTCCTATTGAAATAATTAAGGGTAGGGGTGGAAAATGACTTTTTGAGCTGTTAAATTAACCCTTTTGAACTCGGGAGGTGATGGTGTTTCACCTGAAAGTCCTTTTTGTCACTGAGAAACTGTCATGCAAGGTGCTGTGAGCGATGGGTGCCGGGGCTCGGGGTGCCCGCAGCCGCCCCGCTCTGAAGCCAAGATGTCTTGATAGCGCCCTGCTAGTACAGTACCTGCAGGCGTCTCACAGCGCCTTTCAAACGTGGGCAGTTTGTCAATAAAACCATCATCTTCTGATAACATAAGCAGAAGAAACGCAAAAGGAAGGAAACAAAACAAGAATGAAAAAACGAATCCCAGATGAAATCGAGCAGCGCGTTTAACAACGGGAAGAGACAGAGAAGGATCTTAACGAGGAAAGTAACAGGCGCTGACACAGAAATAACAGCTTCTTTCTCTGCAATGAATTATTCAGACTGCACATGCAACCACAACAAAGCAAACCAGACCAGCACAGAGGACAAATAAAGGAAAGGGCACTGGAACAGGCTGCCCAAGGAAGTTGTGTTGGAAGTCTCTGGCAGCGTTCAGGTTGGACGGGGCTTGGAGCAAACTGCTCTAGTGGAAGGTGTGCCGACCCCCGGGAGGGGGGTCGTTTAGGGTCCCTTCCAACACAAACTACTACACAAGTCTATGAAATAACTTTCTGGCACGCTCTTTGGACAAATTCCGTTGGACTTTGCCGTGGAAAACAAGAAACCAAGAGCATGGTGGAGATGGACCTGGCAGCAAGCCAGTCCTGTGGGATCTCCAGAGGTCCCCAACCCACTGCTGTGCTCACAGACATCCCTGCTCCCTGCCCTGTACACTTTTCACCTTATCTTCTCCTCTTACTGCATGATAAACCCATGATGGGTTCGCAGTCAGTGCACCAAGGTGAGTGCTGACTGGGTGCTCGCTCAGCACCACTGCCCACCCTCGATGGGGACAGTGGGGAGATGCTTAGGCTTTCCCAGAGTGGATCCCAAACCCAACCTACCCCTGCCTGCCCCTGCATCCATCTTATCCCAGGCCAAATCCTGGCAATGTGGCACCCACCACTTGGTCTGCATGGAGCTGAAAAGGCAAAACATGAGGATGTTGCTCCTGGCTTCCCTGTTCAGTGTCCCTCTGCCATGGGGTGATGCCAGAGCCCTGATTTCATCTCTCTTCCGAGGAAAGCCCCCATGGGAGGCATGGGAGCCACTGGGGCCAGTGGACACGGCTTCCTGCCCCCTCCAAATGCATCAGCCCCCACTGCTCAGGGTGGGTATGTCATTAAAAACATCAAGGAGCAATCTTTGTTCACAAAAATACATGTTAGAGAGAAAAAACCAACAGATTTTTACCCAAGAGCAGGACCTGTTGCCTGCTCAGCCTACAGAACCAGCACGCAGCCCCCATTGCCTCCTGAAGACCCCGCAATCAGCCCTGTCCTCAGCCTGGCTGCTCCTCTCCACCAAAATCATGTTCACCACCGCGCCAAGGCCACCAACAGCCCCACCAACAGCAGCCAAAGCTGCAGGACAATGGGCACAGACAGGACCGACACACCGGGGATGCTCGGGGCTGGCCAGCCCCTTGCTTGAGATGCTTCCTTCTCCCCACAGCACGCTGTGACGGTGACCAACAGCCGGCGAACAGGTACAAGCATCTACAACACCTCGAGAGTGAAGCAAACGACAGGACGGAGACGCAGGTCGGACACTCCAGTAAACCTACAGGGAGGGTTTGGAAGGACACCGTGGGGATGGCACCCGCTGCACGGCACATGGTGTTGGGTGGTGATGCCACCACTGCCCATGGCTCGTAAGGTGACAGCAATGGGACATGCTGCAGCCAGGACTGCGGCTGAGCACACACGACCACCAGCCTGGTTTGGTTTCTCAGAGGGTTGGGGTTCCAGCTCCTCACACAGAGCCCATCAGCCAGCCCACACCAGCAAGGGACTGCAGAGCTCCTTCCCCACCACACAAACCAGGCGTGCTCATCACAGGAGACATGGAAAGAAAAGGAAAAAGAGGAAGGTGATCCTGGAAGAAGATGGAGCTGCGGGAAGCAAGGGGCATCAGGGCTGGCAGCCGGGTGGGATGGCAGGGATGGAGGAGGGAGCACCAGCAGCCAGGACAGAGGGGATGGAAGGGAGACAGGGGATGGAGGGGAAGCACATGGGGGCCCAGCACGTGGAGCCTGGGAGCTGCCAGCCAGACTTCATCTACATTTCTTGTCTGAGGCCCCGGCAAGGAGCCTTAGAGGGGTTTGGCAAAATACATGTTTTTCAGGACATTACTCCAAAAGAAAACTACAACACTTGTGTCTGTGTCCAGATAACAGTTTGGAAGAACCTTTTCCAAGACTCCATTCCCCACTACCACTTTAAGGGGAGGTTTGAATTTAGGTCATTCAAAGAGGTATAGTATTAGTTGTCTGCTAGATCCCAAGGTCTGGCTTCCAGCCCCCCTCCCCTCCAGGCACAAGCATCTCCCACCATAAAAAGTTTATTTTGACCAAATTTACAGACCATAATCACAATTTGTATTATGTTTCACTTGGTGACAACCTCTACCTTCACCAAACGTGTGTTTTTCCCAACATTTGGAGCTGCCACAGAGCAAGCTTCCCTAGCAGCATCACGCTCACGACACATCACACCCCCCTCAAATCCCTTTTTGCATTGAAAAGCCTGATGAAAGCTAATGAACATGAACCCAAAGAACAATATTTAAGGCCATTCAGAGGTAAGAAAGGGGAAAGAACAGCAGTGCTGTATGTGTTTACCAACGGTGGGAGTGGTGGCTGCACTCAGGGAATTGGTGGAAGATATGGAAGAAGTACTTTCAGCCCGGGCTAAAGGTGCTATCGGAGGAGGGCTGGAGGAGTGAATAGGAGGGCTAAAAGGCCTGGACTGTAGGAAAACATAAAACAACAAAAGGTTAAAGAAAATATGCACAGCAACATTTGCATCAACCCAAGACAAGCTTTTGCATCAAGCTGTAACCCTCGGTGTACCTCCAGGCCAACCGGTGCCACTGGCACCCCAGGGCGTCCCCACTGGGTTAGCGCAAAACTGAACAACTTTAGCTCTTTTAGTGCCAATGGCATTTTAATCTGGACTTCGAAAAATTCCAGATGATTCCCAGCATCTTGTGGGTCTGGGAGTTTGAAGTCCCCATCCCCACCAAGGATGGGACCTCCATTGCCATTGGATGGATTGAAATGCACTTAGTATTAGGAAGGGAGCAGTGCCCACCATGTGCCAGCTCACTGGGGAGCAGCTCATTACATCCTTATGGAACCTTTGTGGATCTCGAGGCCAGGCTGGATGTGGCTTAGAACAACTTGCTCTAGTGGAAGGTGTCCCTGCCCGTGGCAGGGGTTGGAACTGGATGAGCTTTAACGTCCCTCCCAACACAAACCAGGCTGGGGTTCTATGATAGTTTTATGTCCATAAACATTCTCTACAACTTACCTGAAGTGGCTTGGATGTAACCCAACAGCCCAGCCAGCACGGT